AATATTGTAAAAATTAGAAAAATGTTATTCATTTAATTGTAGAAGATAAAAATATATTACCACCCAATAGGTGTTGTCATTACTCTGAAGCATGGTAAAATAGTCGGAAACCTGTAATAGAGAACATGCATAACGTAAGCAACATGCAAACAAAATAATTTATACTACATTTGTCTAAAAATAAAAATCACACAATTTACCTCAGGCTGAATAATCAGTTGGTTGTACTTAGAAACCACATCCTTGTTCAGTATAACCCTACAAACACTAAAAGAGGACGTATTGTTGTAGCCTTGCTTCTGCTGCTGAATGCGGACTTTAAACAGAAAAGACTGCCCAATCAACCTTGTAATCTCATGCGGCAAATCATAGTTTTCATCAGCATTCTATGAAAAAAAAAAAAAAGCTTTGAAAGGTTAGCATTCACAATTTAAAGTTCTTAAATTTTAAAAAAAATTGGATGGAAACATAACCTTGGCGCATAGATTCAGATCTCAAAGCATGGCAGGATTTCCCAATAAGGATTTCAGATTCTTTGTCCCAACAAAGAAAAGTCCCATTAGCCGTAGCATCCGATATGAGCAAGTTCATCTTGTACCTAATAATTAAAAAATTAAAAAAAAAATTTAACATGGAAAATCAATCAACAAATGTAAAGTAAAAGATTAACAAATGTAGAGGTACCTAAACTTCCCAGCTTCTTTTCAACATTTGGCACACTTTAAGCCATTGTCTGAATTAATCATTTTGCTGCTACAACTTCGGCAAGCAAAATACCACCAATTGTCCACAACAGAGTCAATCATAGCGCATACCCACATGGTCTTGGGCTTCATAAAAATTCGTAATTAATTTGCAGTTAAAAATAAAGTTAATACATATATATTGAAATAAAGTTTAGTAAACATGACTTAGAAAATATAGCTACCTCTTTAGTTTCGATCAAAGCAAACACCGAAGAAACTTGTTTCTCACCCGACAGCAGCTCATCTAATTCCGTCTTGATGACAGTTTTTGAATTTGAACTGTATTTTTTCACCTTCAGGTTGCTTGTGGAGTACCTATTAATATAAAAAAAAAAAGTTAATTATAGATTTAAAACAAAATCTGTAGAATATATGATTTATACATATACAATAATAAGAATTCTATTAACAAATTGGAATTGTCCAACAGACCAAATTATTACCTTGTCACGTATCTCATCGACAGAGTCATGGACGATCAACTTGGTAACATTTAATGAAGTAGTAACCTGTACCTTATCTACAAACATATTAAACAGAAAAATGTTAAGAGTTTTTTAATTTACTTGCTGCTCATGAACATTTAAATTAAATGTGAACCTGTAAATTATAATCGAAAATAATTCGAAAGTAAAATCCCATGGTCAGATTAAAATACCTGCTGCTACATTGAAATTAAATGTGAAAAAATTAGAAAGTAAAATGCCATGAAAATTTATATATTTATAAATAAACTACTTCCATTAACAATTAAATTATATGTTTTGATTATTTAAATTAAATAATTAAACTAATTAAATTATCATTATCATAAAACCTAAACAGCACATTAGAAAGATAAAAATAAAATATGATGCGGCTAAATTTTTAAATAAATTATTCCATGAACAATTAAAGTATATGGGTTGAACATTTAAATTAAATAATTAAACTATTTAGATTAAGATAATACCTAAACAACATGTACTTTATAGAACATACATTGAAATGACATAATTCGAAATGATAAAAATATGATTGGGATAATTTTTTAATTAAATAAATTATACAATTATACAATTCGAAATTAATATTAAACTTTAAAACAATTGGAATAATTTAAATTGAAATAATACTTACTTAGGTACTCTCTAGAACGTACAAATTGCATTATTAGTACCCATGGTTGTCCACTTTCTTCGTAATGGCTCTCGAAAGCCAAAAGCTGATCGACATACTCACCCCAAACCGTGCAATTTACAAAATTTTCACTGTATTAAATATAAAAAAAGGGAGAAATTATAAAAAAGCATTCATGATAGCGAAAAATATATATAAAAAAAATATATAAAAAACGTTAATGATAGCAAAAAATAAATATAAAAAACCGAAAGAACTTACCTTAGATCCATAAGAATGAAGGCAGCCAATTGAGTATCGCTAGTTTTTATATGTTTCTCTTGAACACTTTGAATGTCAATGACTAATCCTATAACATCTACAATAAAAAAAAAAATGTTATAATTTAATTAATTAAAAATTAAAAAACAAAATTCGAAACATCATAAAAGAATATTACCGAATAACATCGATTCATCAATTTGATTGACATCTTGCAAAGTTGCAAAGTCTTTGAATTGAAATCGAAAAACAGGAAATTCTTCCTTGCACTTTGAAAACATAGTGCTCCCGTGCAGCATGATCTTAAAATCACCAGATGTCGAGCGATACTTCCCTATGTTGCTGTCCACTTGATAATTTATTATACAAATTACCATGCCCTCTTCAAAGTTTCTCTCCTTAAACGCAGTCAAGTTGATTGCCCGTAGCCATGTTGTAATGCGATTTCCCTAAACACATGGGAAAACGATATATCAATAAAAAAAAAAAATTGTTTAAAAAAATATATAAAATCAGAATTATATTATATATATATATATATATATACGAAAATATATTTGATAATCCTATTAAACAAATAAGTAAAAATAATTGGGCTTACAGTTTTATCATGAAGAACCAACTCAAGATAGGATTTGTATGTACTGCCCCAGTCTTGGAAGAACATTCGTACAATACGAACTTTAAGCATAGGTCTAGTAGACCTATTGACTTCTTTGATTAAGCAAAATCCTTGATTCATTGTTTGATTGTTTTTTCTTTTTTCGCAGGAGGTCCAAGGAGATAAAATGGTTGATTCAGTGTTGGGAGATTTGTAATTTAAATTGTATCGTTGAATTGCTTTTAAAGAATTTAGATCACGCGTGAAATCAGATCAGATAATTATCTGTAGTAACAAATAAGATTAGATCATTATCTGTAGTAACAATTCAGATTAGAAATCGTTACTATAATTTATAATTTATAATTATAATTGCTTTTTAAAACAATTCGACACAATTATCTGTAGTAACAAATCAGACCAGATAATTATCTGTAGAATTCCAAACAATTGTACGCGTCAAATTTGTTTTTATTTGGGAAGAAGATTTTTAAAAAAGATTAAACACTATCAGATCGGAATCTCGTTTATATAATTTATAATTGCTTAAAAAAATATTCTAAACAACTGTACGCGTCAAATTCTAAACAACTGTACACGTCAAATCTGGCTTAATTTGGGAAGAAGATTTGTAAAAAAGATTAAACACTAATCCACGCGCGCGTTAGATTTCTACCGATGGGCAGATTTTGAATTCGAAATTACAAAAAAAAAAAATAAAAAAAAAATCTATTATTATATATTATAATCTGTTTCCTAAAATAGTAATGCATTAATTGAGGTGACTTTTCAACCTGTTAAATTTAGTAAATGGTATCCCCTATAATATAATTATAGATATGAATAAAGAAAAATATACGTGATATATATAATACGTGATCCGTGCGAAGCACGGGATATATTTATTTGGAGAATATTATATTATAAAATGCAATATTCAATAAAAGTTTATAATACGCAAGAAAATTGTGCAATGTTCAATAAAAATTTTATAATATTCAAGTGGAGTCTTAAAGTCTCTTGTACATTAAGACTACTGACAAAATAATATTTTAATCAACGAGTTTCCTTTTCTTGTAGCCAAATTGTGAATGTGATTTGAGGAGTACAACAAATCGATATATAGCTGACTTGCTTTTTCATTGTAGGCTTTTTTTTTTATAATGAATTTAAAGATATTCTAAAATATAGCAAAAATTAATTTTTTTATTGCAATTTAGAATTTTACTAAATATAGACTCTCAATCTACGGTGTTAATCAACGTCTAAGTCTAAATAATTAGGAATTTTTACCTCTTTTTAATCAACGTTTAAGTCTTAAAAACAATAGAGTTATTATAAGTTTTTTTCTACATCTTTTAAAACATTAAATATGAGCATGTTAGGGCTAGCTTGTAAAATAATTAATATATTATCTCACTAAAACATTTATACTAATAAAAATTTAATTTTAGCATATAAATTTATCCCTTGATATAAGAGAAAGTAACAGTTTTACTTATTGTTGTTCACCATATAATATTTAATTATTATTTTATTATATAATAAAAAAGGATTATTGTTAAATAGTGTAGTAGAATTGTTATAAAATTATTATGATTTTTTTTTTACAATATGGATTTAATATTTTTTTATGATTTGATATATAAACAAATCTATACTTAACTTTGACAAATAAAACAAATAAAAACTTTAGTAAGTATTTAATGTATATACTAAATAGGAATATATTTGGTATAATCAAATACCAAATATAATCAAATAAGTCAAAGTGTATATTTTTATTTGGTATTTGATTTTTTTATTATTAAAATTTTTTTATTATACTTACCTTTTTAAAATAAAACAAATAAATAAATCAATTAAATAAATAAAATATTATAATACCAAAATAGTAATGGCATTTAATGCAGTTGACTTTTCTAGATAGTAAATGTAGTAAATAGAATCTCCTTTTATATAAGTATGGATATGATATTATATTATGCTGCTCAAAATAGTAATGCATTTATTGCATTGACTTTTCAACTTACTAAATTTCGTAAATGGTACACCTTATTATATAAGTATAGATTCTCCTGGTCCCGTTGTCCTCATCCACCAGTTCTAGCATGGAACTAATCGACCCGGGCAACCCTAAACACCATTCTTATGAACCTTGTGATCAACATCACAGGAACTGCACACCCATCAACATACCTCTACTAAGGTTGGGGTGGCAGTACTACGTGAGCTTCTCGGTGGGCTACCCGTTCGTCCAACTCCTCGCAGCCATGGATCTCACCAGCGACCTCACGTGGACACAGTTCCAACACTGCAATCCCTGTGCCCAGCTCCCCGATGGGGACACTAACTTCGAGCCCCAAAATTTGTCGACGTACAAAAATGTAACCTGCGGCCGCCGCGGGACGTGCAAATATTCTATCGAGTATGCCGATGGCTCATCCAGCAGTGGAACTCTCTCCACCGATAGGTTCAAGCTGGGCAAGACAATTATCCCTTACCAAATCCATTTTGGGTGCGGGACCACCGAGTGGGGCAGCTGTGGCGGAAGACGTTTTCGTACTGCTTGCTGCTTGACTCATCCATTCTCACCTTTGGAGGGTCCACCGAGTGGGGCCGTGGGACCGTCACCGTTCCTATGGTACATGGGCCCAAAAAAGGCGCCTACTACCTCAACCTGCTAGGAGTCAGTGTTAAAAGTAATAATACCCTATGGACATCCCCACCCGACATGGGAGGACTGATGCTCGTGAACCCGCGGACAATAGTGATGAGGCTTCCGTCTGACATGTACAATGCTCTCGAAAGAGAGGTGCGTCGCTTGGTTCCTCAATATATGAACCGAAAAAGAGATCCAATAGGGGTATTCCATCTGTGCTATAGTGCCACACCAGAAGAAGAGGATAAGTACTTACCTGAAACAATCACTTTAAACTTCCAGGGTGGGAATGTGAGGCTGCCTAGGGAAAACATGTTTGCTAGACTCAAAGATAATAATGTAGTGTGCTTGGCGGCCCTGTCGGCACAACGAAACGCGGATATTGTCTTTGGTAGCTTTGTGCAGACAAACTTCCGCGTGGGATTCAATCTGGAAAGGCGAGGACCGTCTCATTCGAGCGAACGAAGAAAAAGAACTGATCGATGTTATGTCAATTTAAGTGTCGATCGTGCCTCATCTCCTTCAAAAATAGCTTAATGTTACTAGTTTAATGCAACTACCACTGTCCTGCCTGCCTTTTACTGTGTATTTTTCTTCCCTACCAAAAGTCTTGTGTTGTCTCACACATCGTATAGCCCAATCTTCTTGTCATGTCATGTCATATCATCATATTTTCTTTGACACCACCGGTATAGCCTGAGTAATGTTTGCAAAATGAATGAATGATGAATCTTATCAAGTAGAAAAGAATTAACATAATAATAATTGTTAATTTGAGCCGAATTAATATGTGGGAATTTTCATAATTTTTTTTATGTCCCAAAATTTACTTGCTTTGCATTTCAATAAGTCAAGTTTGAGCTTAATTTAACTTTGAACAAGAAGTTTATTTTTTTTTTTCACACACTTAAGGGTGAGAAACGGTGCGGTTCGATGAAAAACATCACCGAACCGCAAACCAAAAAATCGAAGATAGCAAAAAAACAAAAAAAAAAATAAAAAATTAACCGAACCGCACCGCAACTTAAAAGAAATCGAACAAAAAAATTTTTACACAAAAATAATTGAACCGAACCGAACTGCACCGAAATGCACGGTTCGAGTTGGTTTTCGATTTTATTTCAGTTTTTATACATTTTATTCAGTTTGGTCTAGCTCGGTGCAAAACTGCAACGAACCGAACAAAACCGAAAATCGAACTTATGAAAAACTATAACCGCACCGCACTGCACCGCAATATAGGAAAAAACCGAATCGAATTTTTTTTACATTAAAAAAACTAAACCGAACCGCACTGAATTGCACAACTCAGCTCGGGTTTTCAATGTCTGACTCAGTTTTGCACATCCTTGTATTTACCATTATCCAACTATCATTGTTGAGTATTTATGAAAAATCAAGTTGGAAGATCATTATTGGGAAAGACTTGTTGGGTATCACAACAAACACAATGAACAAAAACACTCCCATAACAAATAATTGGGAAAGTCTTGTTGGGTATCACGACAAACACAACGAACAAAAATACTCACATAACAAATAATAGGTACGGAAATATATAAGTTAATACAACAATTAAATGACGAAAAAAAAAAGAACATATCAAATTGATAATGACAAATATTGCGTACGTTTTCGGGCACCGATAACTGCAATGCCAACTTCCCTAATCTCACGAATAAAATGCAACTAGGATTAAATAACCGATAAGTCCATATTAAAGATTTCCTTGAGATAAGAGAAGAAAATAAGGATGATTGTAAGCCAATGACAAGTGTTTTATTTATACTAAAAAGATCGCACATCGTTGTTACCAATCCAACTTGAGACAAAAAATAAGTCAAAATCTAACAATACTCCAAATATACACACTAACAAAGGCTAGCTACGGGGAGCAACTGGACGGGCCACACGCATGTCGTTGCTGATGGGGTGAGATGTGAATACTTTCCATAGGCGCACGAGCTACAAAGTTTTGGTGCTAGCCACCATGCATTCAGGTAGAGCCGTCAAAACAGGCTTAGGCCTATGGACCAGCCCGCCTCACCCCACGAAAGCGACGAGTTGGACTGGGATTTTCTAGGCTCGGTGGGCAGAGAGCCTAAACAAGTCAGCGCACACGAGCCTCGGTCTAGCCCGGTGAATTAAAAAAATAATGCATAAATTGCTAGGGCATACTTTAAAAGCTCAACTTTCACTTTCTCACAATGCTATTTTCAATGAGATTCATGGTTTCATGTAGTGCGTGTTTGCAATTTATTTATATATGCAAGCATAGTTTCTTTATTTTACATTATATATAATATAGTTCGATGTGTCGAACAAAATGATTATATTACCGGTGTATTGTAAAATATAAATATTTTTACACAACCTGGGCAAAATTGAGCAAACTGTCGGGAAAAACTGTAGAGTGATTTTCGAGTTAGTTGATTTTTTCCTAACGAATTACACTAGTAGATCTCAAATGTATTAAACAGACCTACAGGAAGAGAAGATTATTTTATACTAACCTAGTAAATAATCTAAACCTTAATAATTGTTGCATTATCTTAACCCGTAAGACAATAAACGAGCATATATATATTTAGCAGTTACTTATTTGATTTACCGTGAGTGCGACCTATTCTGTTAGGTTGACATACTCGATCGATATTTTGGTAAGTGATGTTGTTTACATGATGTGTCGTTAAGATTATTTACACTCACTATATCCCAGTGCGTCGGATTGTAGACGTCCTTAAAACCAGCTTAGAAATAACTTTTATGTTAATCTCTGTAGGTGGATTGGTTTTCGACATAATAATAAATAACTGTGTTCAGCGGCCCTGTCGGCACAACCAAACGTTGATGCAGTCTATGGTAGCTTCGCATAGACAAACTTCCTCGTGGGATTCGAACTAGGCCTAAGAAACGTCTCATTTAAGCCATTAGAGAAATAAATCTGATCGATGTTATGTCAGTTTAAGTCTCGTGTATTGTCTTTTTCACAAATAATTTAAATAACTTGTGTGACAAACTTATGATTTTATGCAGCTACGATTGTCCTATCTTCCTTACTGTGTCATTTTTATTCCGTAACAAAAGTCTTGTGTTGTCTGACACGTGGCATATCTCAATATTTCTTGTTGTGTCCTATGATATAATATTTTCTTCAATTCACAACTCACAAATAAAATGAAAAAATAAATAAATAAAATTATCCATCCCCACTGGTGTGCTCTACGGCCTTGACCGCCTTGAACGTATTTGGATACGATCATGTTCAGTTCAAAGACCTGCAAAAGAGGTACAACCTCCGACGATCAAGTCAGAACGTATATGAATAAGATGATGAATAGTATTGTATAAGCTTATAGGTATTTTTGAATGTGTAGAGTTTGAATTGTCATACCTCACCCCTTTATACAAGGGTGCATGTGACTTTTTTGCCCAATACTGCCCGAGCTACCCATTCATATTGCCCGGGTGCCCAAACTGTCTGGTTCTGTTAGGCTACACGGACCTATACACGTGTGATTCTTACTCTAGTAATATTTCTTTTTATCTCTTAGCGTGTCTTATTAGACGATCTAATCATATGACCGACTCGGCTTCCCTCTAGATAGATTATCTTCTCATTGTGTTCGTGCACTCTGTCTGGATCTACCTGCATACCTCCAAGTCGAGTTTCACCAGGCTATCCGAGAGTCCTATCTCGTCATGCTGGCGTGTCTCCTTACCTTTGGAGTCAGCATCAACCTGGTATTCCAACGACCTATCATGTCTCGACATGTTGATTCGCCTAGTTAGGTTAGATTGCTTCTCGGGTTGAATCGACCTGGTGTGGTATCTCATATCACCCATTACATCTTTTTCACCTAGGTTAGAGGGAATACAAAATTCTTACAGATATAACAACCCGCACCACATGTATTCATCGTTTCCACTTTTCAACACCAAATTGGTGCCGCATCAACTTCTTGCCGATGTCGTTCACATCTAAGCCACCACCGGCACCACCCAATGTGCACCTTTCAACATTGCACGATGCACATTCTGCTAATCTTGAGCTGCAACTGACAAATATTGGCTGTGATATGAAATTATGTTTATGAAAATTATGGAATCTGAATTTATATATGGTTGTTTGGTTTATGAATTCGAAATCCCGATCTTATACCAATTACCTGTATTTTTTCATTCTTTATTTTTTTTTTAATAATGATCAGGCTTAGCCCGCCCAACCCATGACCCAAGGCGGGGGCAGGTTGGGCTGTCATTTCTTCGTCCCACCATGATGGCATACCAAACCACCCCGCCCATCCCCACCAAACGACGGGCTTTGGCGGGCTACGGGTCTACCTGTCCAGTCGGTTAGTTTTGACAGCTCTACCTCCAGACATAGTGTCGATGGCCAGCGACCTGTGGTGGTCTCTGATGATTAGCACCAATCAACAACAATGTAAATTAATGAAATAAGACCTTAAAAATACATAAAATAAGTAAATTATCCCAATATATAAAGATGACCAAAATTTTTTTTTAGAATTGACTCAAGTGAGTTAGTTGTTAGACGGGGAGGACGTATTTTAATTACTAATTTTTCTTGTATTTTTAGTTGTTTACTATGTTTGGTGTTTTGGGATTTTAATGTCTGTTGCTCTGCTGCTACTTGTTAAGGGACTTCTATGTCTAAACCTATAAGGTTGCACTGATAGTAGTATGATGTGGTTGTTCCTGTCTAGTAGTTTAGTCTTTTATTTTGACGGTGGTGTTGTCTCCAATTTTGCAAGTTTATTTTCGTGTTTTTAAGGTTGTGTTTTCTAACTCTTAGCATATCTAATTATTGAGCTGCATATCTAATTATTGAGCTATTTGTCTCGTGCACAATATCATGTGCAAGGAGATTGTTTGTACAAGTTGGTCCGGTAATCTTTTTTTTAGTTTAATATTAATATATATATATATATATATAATTGCTTAAAAAACTTTAAATAGATTTATTTATAAACAAGCACGCCCTTAATAAGATTGAAACAGACGAACACATGAAGCCTATTTAATAGAATAGATGTGATCGTTTACTCACTGTGCCAGTTGGAATTTGTATGAAGGAAACCTGATGCTGGATACACATGAATGGCACATCAAATTATAGGGGACCCAATAGGGGATTCAATAATTTTCTTAGTTGAAAACAAACTACTTTTATTAATAATTAAATAAATAACTGAAGCAACTGGGACACCAGTCATGAGAATTCCTATTCAATTCACTTTTGGCTTGATGCTTAAAATTCAAATGGAGAATTTGGTTTGGTTAATTGGTCACACGCTTTTATTATTATTCAAAGATATATACATACAATAAATATTTTACAATCCCTTTTTTATCTTTTGTGATTAATTTATTAAGAGATTAAAATGTTATCATTTTAGCCTATGTATTTTTATTAAGAGGTCCTTGTAGAATCTCTTCTTACATATAAATGTAAAGTTTTTAAGCTTAATTATCAATTTTAGGTATTCTGTAATTATATCTATTAGTTTCTTATGATTTGGAGTAGGCCATGTAGATCGGGACATTTATCCATGACTATTAGAATTTTTAAACTAAAAACCTTCCTAACTTAATTATAAATATAATTTAATGTTAAATAACTTTTATATTTCTGTATTATTTTAATATATGATAACTTAATCAGTGATGACAATCTTGAATTCGACTGTCATATTGTGTAAATAAAATAAAATAATTATATCTATCTTTATGAATAAACATTTAAATATTTATAATTCATAAATGAAAAATGATAAATTATCTATCATTCTTACTATATGGTTTTAGTTACAAATTTATTATAATATATATTTTTAAGATCAAATCTTAAGTAAGGTGTATCATTTAAAAATATAGTATAATTTCTTAAGAATTTTTAAATTTTTTTAGGTCTCCGGCAAAAACATCTCCGCGTAGGAAGAACATTAATTTATATATTTACAAATTTTAAATATAATTTTTTTAATACCAAAATCGTGTACAATAATGATTGAATATAAATATAGGTAATTAAGCACAAGAAATTCAATCTGGGTAATTAATTAACTTGGCTCGCCTTTATATGGATCTGCTATTATTGCGTATGTTATTGAAACTTAGAATTGTGTAACTACAATGCGAATTAATAAAGTTTAAACTTATAAAAGTATTTCAGTAAACGCAGGTTTCAATTAAACAAGTAGTACTGGTACAACATGTGACGGGTGATAGATCAAGAGGGTGAAAAAGATACTCTGCATACATTTAGACTATTAGAGCAACTTTAGTGGTAAACCCCTATAAACTTCACTTTTCCATTTTCCCATGTCATCCAATATTCAATTCTTACTCCAATAACAACAAAATTCAAATAATCATAAACTTTACAAATTTAAATAAAATATATTAAATTAAAGCAAGTGTCTAAAAATGTGGTAGGTGTGGGCCATGACACCCACACATGATTTGAGGTGCGTGTGTCTCAACACTCATTAAGTAGAACTTTACTCTCAAGAAGTGTATTACACACTCCATCAATACACACTCCATTAAGTGAATTATTTATACTATTGGAAGAGTATCATATTTCTCATTTTACTTTTCAGGTAGGTCCACTAGGAATAACTTTTATATTTATTATTATATTTAAATATTACAATAGGGATAACTTTTTACTATGCCTTTAGCACGAGTGTAAAAGCTAAACCAATTGCCATACTGGCTGGTAGCTGTATATATAATATAGCGGCAGGGACCATTCATGGATTCATCCAGTAGAAAAGAATCTGACCACACACATACATATATACAAAAGCACAATCTTTTTTTTTATTTAATTTTATTTAATTTCGAGGATGGATGAAATGATGATGAATCCCCTTAGTAAGTACTCATCGGCCGCTCTGGTTGTTCTCATCGCATTACTACTAATTCCCCTTGTCCCGTTGTCCTCCTCATCGACCAGTTTTAGCATGGAACTAATCGACCCGGCCAACCCTAAACACCCTTCTTATCACCCTTCTCAACTTCACAACACCCTCCCACCCATCAACACACCTGTACAAATTGTGGGGTGGCAGTACTATGTGAGCTTCTCGGTGGGCTCCCCGGCCACCGAACTCCTCGGAGCCATGGACCTCGCCAGCGACCTCACGTGGGCCCAGTGCTGTTGTATGTCCACGTACAAGACCGTACCCTGCAGCAGCGGCCGCTGCCTCCACCTGTCATCAGGCTCCACCAAGTGCAGCGGCGGGACGTGCAAATACTCTGTTTCATATGCCAATGGCTCGTACAGCAAGGGAACTCTCGCCACCGATACGTTCAAGCTGGGCAAGACAATTATCCCTTACCCAATGCTCTTTGGGTGCGGGAAAGAAAACAACGGGCTGATGGGCGTGGTCGGCCTAGGGGAGGGGAACGCCTCCATCGTGGGGCAGCTGCAACGGAGGAGTTTTTCGTACTGGTTGCTGCCCAACGCATCCATTCTCACCATTGGAGGGCCCACCGCGTGGGGCAGTAGGACCCTCACCCTTGGTATGGTAAAAGGGCCCAAAAAAGGCCCCGCCGGCTACTACCTCAACCTGCTAGGAGTCAGTGTGGAGGTTGATAATAGCCTACGGACATCCCCACCCTACAAGGGAGTACCGATGCTCGTGAACCCGCAGACCATACTGACTACGCTTCCCTCTCGCATCTACGATTTTCTCCAACGTGAGGTGAATATCAAGGTTCGTAAACAACTGAAACGAGCAAGAGATCCAACAGGGGTATTCAAGCTCTGCTATAATGCCAAAACAAACAACGATACAAACTTACCTGAAACAATCACTTTAATCTTCCAGGATGGGAATGTGACTCTGCCTAAGGTAAACATGTTTGCTAAACTCGACTATGTGGATGTAGTGTGCTTGGCGGCCCTGCCGGCACAAAAAGATGACGTCCCAGTCTATGGTGGCTTTGCACAGACAAATTTCGGCGTGGGATTCAATCTGGAATCGAGGGCCATCTCGTTTAAGCGAATCAAGAAAAAGAACTGATCGATGTTATGTCAATTTAAGTGTCGTGTCTAGTCACCTTCAAAAATAGTTTAATTTTACTTTGTGTTGCAAACTGATGTTTTTATGCAGCTACCACTGTCCTGCGTGCCTTACTGTGTCAATTTTTCTTCCCTAACAAAAGTCGTGTTTGAGAGCATAGCCCAATCTTTCTTGTCATATCATCATATTTCCTGTGACCCCACCTGTATAGCATGAGGCATGTTTCCAAAATGAATAAATGAATTTTATCAAGTAGGAAATAATTAACATAATAATAATTTCTTTTTTCTTTTTTTTTTTTTCGATTACAATACCATTGACGATCAAAGGAGATTCAGTCTCCGACCATTACCAAAAATAGAACATAGAAAATACAAGAGACAATCCTTCCACAAGAAGGTTCCCGTCGCTGACAAAGCTTGATAAGCTAGATGATGGGCAACAAAATTATGATTCCTATCAATATGACTACAAGATCCACGATTAAGATTTGACAAAAAAGCGATAAGATGTCCACAAAAATTTGGTGCAAGGTGTCATTAGGAGAAAGCTCAGACAACCCACATATAACTGTCAGGGCATCCGTTTTAGCATATTGAATTGAAGTACCCGAATCTTGAGAAAAACGTACGTAGTCCAAACCTATGAGCTAGAGCTTCGACTGCAACTGAAGAAAACGTGGAATACAAGTTTAAAAAGCCACCCAACATAAGCCTTCTGAGTCGCCAATCTAACCTGCTAATCCAATAGCCGAATCCCGGACCGTGGTATCACAAAATAATGTGAGTCCATTGTGACACTTCCCAGAACCAACTCATCTTTCGATAGTTGATGCAAACAAAGCCCGTTCAAACATGTAGCGCCCCCATCGCACTTTATTAACCTCCTCTTGCCACGCAAGCCCAACTGTCCATGCTTGCTCCACAATTTTGGCTTTCAAACCGTGTTTGATACAGTTTCGTTCATGCCAAATAATCAACAATAAATAAGCAAAAATTGAAAAATCATCCCCACGAACACTTTCCAGAATGTCAGAGAAAATAATAGAGAAACTCGAACCTCGTAAAGGGACGAGTGTATCCCACCACCCTGAAATTTCCACAGTTTCTCAGGACCAAAAGCAATCAAAGAAAATATGAACATTGGATTCCTAACCAGAAAATCTGGGACACTTTGCAACCACCCTGTTTTGTCTTTTAGAAAGATTTTCCACTGAAGGAATTATCGAGTTACAAACCTTCCATAGAAACATTTTGATTTTTGGTACAATATTCAATTTCCACAAAGCTTTCCACCACTAGTTGTTTGAAGATGAAAAGGATTCCAAGGTGCCATATGATCGTAGCTTGAGAAAATGGTAGGCACTCTTCACCGTGTAATCCTCATTTTTTGAATGGTGCCAAATAATTCGACCAGGGTTACTAGACAGGCTAAGAGGGATTGAGAAAATTTTAAGCGAATCTATCGGCAAAAATACTCGGTTGATCAAATCATCATTCCAATCCCCGTTCCTCCCAATGAGGTCGCTAACTCTATCAATGCCCCCTGAAATGTGAGATATAGGCCGAAATCACTGAAATTGGGGAATCTAATGGTCCGAGATAACCCTGATTGACTTGCCGTCACCTACTCCCCAACACATGCCAGCCTAAATAACTTCACGACCCCACACTAGACTTCTCCAGATGAAGGAAGAACTCGGTCGGACTGTTGCCTCTAAAAACTGACATGAAAGAAAATACTTGGCTTTGAGAACTCTAGACACTAGAGAATCCGGTGATGATAGCACTCTCCAGGCTTGTTTCCCCAACAAATCTTGGTTGAAAATAGTGAAGTCTCGGAAACCCAATCCACCTTCTGGCTTCGATAACGTTAGCCTGCTCCATTTAACCAACGGGAGTTTTTGTTCACCCTCACGGGACCCCAACCAAAATTGGGCAACTATTTTATTCAATTAGTCGCAAATCAATTTTGGGATCCGAAATAAGTTCATAATGTAAGTGAGAATAGATAGCACCACCGCTTTGATTAGAATTTCACGCCTCGTCGGCGAAAAAATATTACGCCGTAAGAATTTAGTCACTTCCAAATTTTCTCCCGAATAGTCGCAAAAGTTCGACTTTTGTCTCAGCCAACCATAGATGGGAAACCCAAATAAGTACTGTAAGAGGAAGGAGAATGGATTCCCAAAGTCAAACAAAAAGCTAGACGCACATTCAGAAGAGTATTGGGAGTGAAAGAAATCGATGATTTCTCCAAGTTGACCTTTTGACCCGAAGATGCTTCATAGATTCTCAAAATCTGAACAATGGTCGATATCTCACCCGAATTAGCCATTGAAAAAATGATTGAGTCGTCCGCAAAAAAGAGATGGGAAATCAGGGATCCGAGTTTGCTACATTTGAACCTCGTAAGAGATTTTTCCATTTCAGGTTTGATAAGAGACGCCGACAACCCTTCTGCATACAGGATAAAAAGATATGGCGATGATGAGCAGCCCTGGCGAAGACCGTGAGAAGGTCTGACATTACCCACAATTTGGCCTTTTATTCAAAACGTGAAATTCACTGTCGAAATGCATTGCCATATCAATCGACGGAATCGGGGAGGGAACCCTTTTTTTAAGAGCACTGAGGCAACAAAATCCCATTCAACTCGATCATACGCTTTACTCATGTCTAATTTTAAAGCCATTCAGCTTCCTTTGTCTTTTTTTGACATAGATTGGAGCGTTTCAAAAGCAAAGATTGCACTGTCCATTATGAGCCGATTAGGAACAAAAGTGCTTTGAATCACTGATATAAGAGGGCCGAGGACTTTTTTCAACCTAGCCGCCACAACTTTCAAAATTAGTTTGTAAAGAACCGTGCCTAAACTTATGGGCCGAAAATCTGTAATTATATATGTTTTTTTTTCTTTGGAATTATGACGATGATTGTATCATTGAAACCCTCAAAAGAGCCTCTATGGTTGATAATTTTAAGACAGTCTGGAAGAAGATATGGCTTCAGGATCTCCCAATGTGTTTGATAAAAAATAGCGTGAAACCCATCGATCGGGCTAATACTCATTAAGGCGGCACGAACTTCTTCTTTAGTATATAGTTCATCTAACATGGAAACCTCTTTAGAAAAAATACACCCTTCCACACTATCAGTCAACTCTGAAATTTGCTCTGGGTCGGCCTTTCACTGGAAAAGAGATTTTCAAAAAAATTGGAAACATGCTTACCAATCTGTTGCTCACTCTTTATCCGCTCTCCCTGATCATTTTTTAGCTTATCTATGCGGTTGGCCCGATGTCTGGCTTTAGCTCGAGAATGAAAATATCTTGTATTCTGATCCCAGTCCTTGAGCCAGTCTATCCGAGCTCTTTGTTTCCAGAAGCTCTTCGCAGCAATGAAGCCTCTGAACTTCTGCTTCTAAAATTTTGATCACGTCCATGAGGTTTGCTGAATCAGGAGACTCATAAAGTTGTTGAAGATGCTTTTATTTTTTATGAAAAATATTCTTCCACCCCGAGAAAGCTTTTTTACTCCATGTCTGTAACACCCCGTTATTTTTAAGTGGAAAATAACAATTTATTTTTTCAAAAATCAGAGTAAATTTTTCAAAAATCAATTCAAAGATTTATTTAACGGGCGCTACTCGAAAATTCACATAACAACCATTTAAGTTCACATTTGAACAACGGGGTACAACCATCCCGAAAACAATTATCTCATGCCAACAACATTTATTCCATCATGCAAATTATCCAGATCAACACTATGATCTCCAAATATTAATCAAGTTCCATTAATCCAAGCATGATAAAAAATCCCAGAAAACAATGGTTCGGTTTCCACATGATAATAAACCAAGTCTAACAGTGAGATAGTAATAAATAAATAAAGCGGAAGTAGGTAAATAGCAGTTCAACAACATATAATGACCCTGCCTCGCTCGTCTTTCGTCACGGCCACCAGCTCAACCTGAAAAGATGGTTAATAGTGGGAGTGAGCAAACAACTAGCTCACCGTGGGAATACCATGCAGTATGATCATATAAAGACTTAAAATCATAATCGTAGTATGTAAGCAAAACGACTAGACTTAAATACAGCCACGCTCATGTGATCACACCTAACCTATCAAACTCAAAAAAAAGATACGAAACAAGTCGTCCACACAACAAAGACGGGAGCCGTCCCCACGAAAAAGACGGGAGCAACCGCACATGAAACATCACGGGCTAAGCTCTCTAAAGGCTAGAGTTAGGCATCATAGACTACCGGTTCACATGCTTACCTAGATTATCAAGCCAAGCATTTATAGAAATTAACATACACGGTAAGTTTATCAACACCCACCTGGTCAGTCGAAGTAGGCGAGATTACAATAATCAGCTGGTAGTAGTCTGAGGGCTCAACTCCTCAAACGCCTACATTTAAGCGAGATAATATATCAATAATCTATCTCACTACTCAAAAATTATTTAAAACCCACACTTAATCAAAATTGAGGATTAAGTGCATGTTTGCAATTTATTTATATATGCAAGCATAGTTTCTTTATCTTACATTCTAGATAATATGGTTCGATGTGTCGAACAAAAATATAATATTATCGGTGTCTTATAAAATATAAATATTTATTCGCAACCTAGATAGAATTGAATTGATTTTCGAGATGGGCTATAGTGTGATTTTCGAGTCAGTTGATCTTTGACTAACAAATTACACTAGTACATATCGAATGTATTAACCAGACGTACAGGAATACAATATTATTTTATACTAACCAAGTAAATAATCTAAACCTAAGTAATTGTAGCATTCTCTTAACACGTAAAATAATAAACAAGCATATGTATTCAGCAGTTACTTATCTGATTTACCGTGAGTGCAACCTATTCTGTTAGATTGATATACTCGATATTTTGGTAAGTGGTGTTGTATACATGATGTGTCGTTAAGATTGTTTATGGTCACTGTGTCCCAGTGCGTCCGGTTTTTGACGT